TGAGAGTGTGAGTGTGAGTGTGAGTGTGAGTGTGAGTGTGAGTGTGAGAGAGAGAGAGAGAGAGGGAGAGAGAGAAGAGAGAGATAGAGAGAGAGAGAGAGGGAGAGAGAGAGAGAGGGAGAGTGAGAGTGAGAGTGAGAGTGAGAGAGAGAGAGAGACAGAGACAGAGACAGAGACAGAGAAAGAGAAAGAGAAAGAGAAAGAGAAAGAGATAGAGATAGAGATAGAGAAAGAGAAAGAGAAAGAGAAAGAGAAAGAGAAAGAGCAAGGGCAAGAGCAAGAGAAAGAGGAAGAGAAAGAGAAAGAGAAAGAGAAAGGAAGAGAAAAACACTGCGAAAGCAGGATTTGCGTTGGAAAATGTCACGTCTTTCGCTGCGTTGCTCCACCTTCTCACAACCCGAAGATTGCAATGGCAATGCAGGTCCGTCCATACGGCTTGAGCTCTGTAAATTGCCGGACGAATGAGCGGACAGTGCAATTTCAAATCCATGGGTCAGACTCAGGGGCTGGGAAACTCGTTAGACGGCCAAGGATCGCAATGACTGCATGGTTGAGCTCGGGGGCCCAAATCTTGTGACACAGTTACCAAGTTTCCACCCATTTCATGTTTTGATGTGACGTGACTCGAAGATTCGAAGAGGAAGCTTTTGCAGGTCATGTCCAGGTGCATAACGAAATCTTCGTGATTTTTACGACTCTTGTCTATGGCCTCGCCGGCAGTGTGTGTGTGCCATGGCAAGCAGATGTGGATCGGAAGAATATCTTTCTCACCGTTGCAATATATATGTAGAGACTCTGAGTAGAGACTCCCTGCTCAACGCCAGCCTTTGAGGTATTTCAATGTTGCAGTCATCTTTGCAGCGCAAAGATTTGCCCCCTGACTCAGCATTAGCTCCGAACATTTGAGAGTTGCTTGTTGCCACCATGAGAACGAATGATTGCGATTGTAAACTGGGTGCTGGTTATGGAACTCGCTTCCCTGCAGTGGTAAACCTGGCAAGATACGTCGGATGAGGTCACTGGCTCTGGCTTGCTTGCGCGCAGTCATGGCCAACTTCAAAGCGGAACGACTCGCCAAAACGAGAAGACGAAAGCGGCGTGTTTCGACAGCGCTTGGTTTGTAGTGGAGAAACTCTTTGGACAGATTCGCAAAAAATAACCTGAGTTCTGCCATGCATTTCTTGTTCATGTGGGTTCTGTTTGTTTGGCCTGGTATGTCCCCCATGCCGCATGACAGGTCCACTACTGTAAAACAGACACAGGCATTCCTGAAACATGACGACACATGTGTATACAGTACATATGTATATGTATATGTATTTATTTATTTCTTTATACATACACATCATCTATTGGTCAACGAATATGGTTTTTGCAAGCCACCTACGGTCAGCATGGCAAGGCTGAAGGTGAGAAGTAGATACTTAGAATTTCTCTTTTTAGCCTTTTCCTTTGTAATGGCTTATGAAAATCTTTGCCAAAGAAGCACGGCGTCTCCGCCTCGTCCAGTCTTGGCACGCGGTCCCAGGTCTACTCTTCATTGCCTGGCTCTTGCTGATTTGTACTCAAGTTGTCTCGCATGGACTTCAGTGGTACCTACTGGACTACCAGCACGGAGGCCGGTTTACCGCCGGGCCACTACAGGCACCAGCAGAAGATGCGATGCTTGTCATCCCACACGCACTGGTGTGTCTTCTGGAATTGTAGAATGCTTTGCTTGTTCATGCTGGCGGAATGCATGCAAAGCTTCACACAAGAAAACTCTATCCTTTTAGGGCGCGATTCCCTTGACATCGCATGCTTTTGCTTCACCATTCCCAGCGACCACGTTTTTTTCCGTATTTTTCCCCAAACAGTGTGGCTACACTGAGGGGTTCCTACAGTCAGGGTTAGGGCCCGGTGTTCAGTCGAGGTGGTATCATACCTGTGCGGGATTTTTGATGACCCTTACAGCACACAAGTTCCTTCATCTTCCGTTTTCGAAGGAAGTCTCGCACGAAATGGTGGCTGGGAGGCTTCTCTCGAAGGGCTCGTTTTACTAGCGGGCCATGCACGTTTTTTGGAGCTATGTCCATTTCGCGTGGCAGGCGTGGCACTTTCGGGTCATTTTGAGGTCTGAAACGTCGTTTTGCGTGACAGGTGCAGGACATCGGACACCTTTTCATCGCGTGGCAAGCGTGGCGCTTTTTGCACGTTGCTAAAATGTTGGCAGGCGTGGGTCAGAATGAGAGGTGCTTTTGGAGGTCATTTCGTGTGGCAGGTGCAATATTTGGTGAACTTGGACGACGTTTTGAAAGGGTCGAAAACCGCGTTTTGTGAAAGCGACGTCGGATTTGATTTGGGGCATGATGATGAGGTAGAACATTTGTTTTGAAGGGCTATTTATTTATTTATCTTTTTCCGGCAGGTTTTGGAATTATTTTTGGGTTCCTGGTTCTATGCTTTCCTGCTTCTCTGCTTTTTGCTTTTCCTGCTTCTCTGCTTGTCTGCTTCTCTGCTTTACCTGCCTTTCTTTTCTGTTTCTCTGCTTTCCCTTCTTCTCTGCTTTTCTGCTTTTGTGTTTTTTTCTTCTCTGCTTCTCTGCTTTCCCTTCTTCTCTGCTTTTCTACTTTTGTGCTTTGCTTGCTTCTTTTCTTTTCTGCTTCTCTGCTTTCCCTGCTTCTCTGTTTTTCTGCTTTTGTGCTTTGCTTGCTTCTTTTCTTTTCTGCTTCTCTGCTTTCCCTGCTTCTCTGCTTGTCTGCTTTTGTGCTTCTGTGCCTTTCTACCTCTACTATTCTACTTTTTCTTTTCTTCAGTCATGTGTTTTTGCTGCTCTACTTCTTGCTCCTCTGCTTCTCTGCTTCCTGTCTTTACTGCCTCTTTGTTTTTCTTTTCTTTTGCTTTATTCTCTCCTGTTTGTAAACACCCTAGGTGAGACCCAAAGAAACCTTAAAGAAATCCTGACAAGAACTCCTGATAAGAAACCCTACATGAAACCCTAAATGAACCCTAATGAAACCATAAATTAACCCTAAAGAAACCATGAATCAAACCCTAAAGAAACTTCGAATGAAACCCTAGATGGCATCCTAAAGAAACCTTAAACGACACTCTCAAACACCCTAAATGAAACCCAAACTGAAACCCTAAAGAACCCCTAAATGAAACCCTACATGAAAGCCCAAATTGAAACCCTAAACTGAAACCCTTAATTAAACACCTAAGAAACCCTTAATGAAACCCCAAATGAAACCCTAAAGAAACCCTAAATGAAACACTAAAGAAACCCTAAAGAAAACCACATCAACGTTTGAAAATCTTGATAAGAAATCCTGATAAGAAACCCTACATGAAACCCCAAACGAAACTCTAAAGAAACCCTAACCTAAAGAAACCCTCAATGAATCCCTAAAGACACCCTACATGAAACCCTAAATGAAACCCTACATGAAACCCTAACTGAAACCCTGCATGAAACCCTAAATGAAACCCGAAATGAAACCCGAAATGAAACCCGAAATGAAACCCTAAAGAAACCCTAGATGAAACCCTAAAGAATCCAAAACTGAAACCCTAAAGAAACCCCATGAACGTTTAGAAATCTTGATAAGAAATCCTGATAAGAAACCCTAGATGAACCCCTAAAGAAACCCTAAACGAAACTCTAAAGAAACCTTAAACCCTAAATGAAACCTCAGATGAAACCCTAAAGAAACCTTAAATGAAACCCTCAAGAAACCCTAAATGAAACCCTAAAGAAACCCTACTGTAAATGAAACCCGAAATGAAACCCTCAAGAACCCCAAGTGAAGCCCTAAAGAATCCCTAAATGAAACCCTAAAGAAGCCCTAAAGAAAACCACCTCAACGTTTGAAAATCTTGATAAGACATCCTGGTAAGAAACCCTACATGCAACCCTAAAGAAACCCTAAACGAAACTCTCAAGAAACCCTAAACCTGAAATGAAACCGTAGATGAAACCCTAAAGAAACTTTACATGAAAACCTCAAGAAGCCCTAAATGAAACCCTAAAGAAACCCTACTGTAAATGAAACCCGAAATGAAACCCTCAAGGACCCTAAGTGAAGCCCTAAAGAAACCCTAAATGAAACCCTAAAGAAGCCCTAAAGAAAACCACATCAACGTTTGAACATCTTGATAAGAAATCCTGATAAGAAACCGTACATGAAACCCTAAAGAAACCCCAAACGAAACTCTAAAGAAACCCGGTGCTCATTTTTAGATGGCGCGCGCAACCCTCTCGTAACTTTAGGAGATCTTGCCAAAAGAGATCTTATAGAGTGCTTGTACACAGATCTCTTCAAGAGTTTTGCCAAGAGACCTCTTATCGAAGGAAGTTTAGAAGTCAAACTTCCGACAATATGGACAGATGGAAAAGCAGAGGTGCGAAGAGCCAGAGAAGAGAAGAGAAGAGAAGAAGAAAGAAGAAAGAAGATCAGAGAAGAGAAAAAGCCAGAAGAAAGACGATTTAGTTGCGCGAAAAGGCGGAAAAGTCGCCAACACAGTGTTTTTCCAAAGATTTGTGATATTTGTGGCTCCGCAGGGTCGAAAAGCAGCCTCGCTAAACCGGCGGGTGCGGAGCGATCTTGTACGGAGACATTGCATATATAGATCTGTTGGGATCTTGTTAAGCTGTTAAGCCCCTTACAGAGATCTTGTCAAGACTTATAGAGATCTTGTACAGAGATCTTGCCAGGACACCTCTTATAGAGACCTTCTACAGAAACATTGCATAGAGATCTGTTGCAGAGATCTTGCCAAGATCAAGAGGTCTCTTACATAAATCTTGCCAACAGAACTCTTATAGAGAGCTTGCACAGAGATCTTAAAGAGATATTGCCAAGAGACCTCTTATAGAGATCTTGTACCGAGATCTTGCCAGGAAACCTCTTATAGAGATCTTGTACAGAGACCTGGTGAAGAGAGCAGAGGTCTTGCTCGGAGATCATTTATAGATAGCTTGAATAGAGATCTTATTTTGAGATCCCTTGTAAAGATCTTCTGTGGAGATCTCCTGCAGACACCTTGTACAGATAGCCTTACACAGGGATCTTGCACAGCAGCTTCTACAGAGGACCTGTCAAGGAGATCTTGCCCACGATCTTCTACAGAGATCTTCGCAAAGGGAACTTGCAGAATCTTACCTGGTATCTCTTCTTCCAGAGACCACCTTGAATGGACACAATGCTTTCACTACTAGGGTCGCTCTTGTCCTGCTAGCTTGCAGCCGCTGATGATTTTAGGTCCTTTCCACCTTTCCCTGTAGAATCCTAACTACACACTGTTTGGGGTCTCTTGCCGGGATAATTCTAAAAGTGTTTGTCACGTTATTTGTCATGCCTGTTCCCTGTCTCTTGGTTCGAGCCTGCTTGGTGAGAAGTGAATGGTGTGGTGTGTGCTGTGTGGTGTGTCGGGTGTTGTGGTGTTGGGGTGTCGGGGTGTTGGCAGCTCGATTGAACTTGCACTCGCACGTGATGGTATGTGAATGATTGTAGCGTGCGTTGGTGTTCATGTTCGTGTGAATTTTGCATTCAGACTTGACGTGAAGTTGATCGAGAAAGCCTGGTGTCTAGCAGCAGTCCTGTCTCCATGTGTGCAGAAAATCGCGTTGGCCCCGAAAAAATGCTTTCGGCATTGGCCCACAGAGTTTCTGTGATTGAGAATAAATCTAGGTCCAAGACACGGCACAGGGGAAGCAACCGTTGTGTTGCCAACTTGCTGGAAAAGGATGGGTTGGTTCAGATGAATGTTTCAGATTTCTTTTTCGTGGCCTTTCGTTTCAGCTTCTCCATCAATCCGCGATGCTCAGATGGCTTCACTCATGTCCATGACCTGGTCTTCAAAGTCCTCGGGTGCCGCGGGCGAAACGACAAACCCTGCAGGAAGGCGTTCCAATGCGTTCCAACGCGTTCGAACGCATTTTGCTCCATGATGCCTACATGAAACAAGAGCAACCAATACAGTCAAGGACAGACACTCAAGACCATGCGGATTGTTAATTTTTACTGTTCACAGGGAGAAATTGCCAATGCCGTTTATCTTAGGTGCATTGCAATCGTATGTGTTGCATCGGGCAGCGGGCTGATCCTGTCAGTGGCATACGCAACTTGGCGAAAAGTTGCGGAGCATTCAGTCAGATGCATCCGGAGCTGTTGTCTATGCACTCTTGTGCGCCCCTGTGCAGTTTGTATCATCCACCTCCCGCGACAAAGCTTTCCAAACGCGAATAATTTTGAAGACCGTAGCTAGAATAGCAGCTAGAAACAGGGTTGACGGCTTGCTCAACTTTCTTCATCAAACCAGGATAAATTTTCAGAATCCAAGTGCCACACCGCCCAGCCCCAATCTACTTGCCATGTCATTGCGGGCTGCATTTGCGCAAGGTCCAGTCCGGCTTCATCTCAGGCTTGGACGCAGCAATAGAAACCAGGTCGCAGCGGAGCGACCTTGACCTCGACAATTTCAAGTTGGGTTTCACGTGTGTGTTGTGATGAGTTCAAGTGTCTGCGACCGTTCTAAACCTGATGTATTACAGGCAGGACCAGGTCTGCGCTTAAGATCATGAAACCGTGCGCCTTGTCGACGCCAAAAAAGGATAAAAATGGTTGGCTTTTCATTGACCCAATGCAATGCAGGTGCCACTGCTTCCAAATATTGTCGCTTAATTGCCCATATCTTACAATCAACACTCAGGATTGCTGGTGCAACCACATGTTGACATCTCCAGACTTCGAGTTCGGGGTGCAGAGTTGGGCCAACATGGAAGCAATGCTGCCTCTCGGCGCACGTGTTGAATTT